CAGCTCATGTTCCTCCTAATTGCAATTAAGCCATTTATCTATCCATTCATGCCATGTTATCCCCATTCTCTAATTTATACAAAAGTCATGTCCTTTTCGTCCATTTTCCATTCGTTTTCTTCAAAACTATCCAACATTGAGGGAATGTTCTCTTTGTATTTTAGTTTTTTGTTTTGAATTTTGAATTCATTTTGAGTTTTGTATTTTGAGTGTCCATTTTGAAATTGTTTAAAATGTGTTCTTTTTGAGATTTTGAAAAATTGTTTAAAAAAAAAAATGGAAAACACCTAAAATGCGTTGTGAAAATTTTGGCTTGATTATAACTGAGAACACCCAAAACGACAAATTTGTCTTTTTGGGTTTTTTTTTTTTGGTAAATTTTTAACTTGTTTTTAAAAATACGTTTTCGAAAATAGGAAAGAGAACACGTTTTCACTATTTTGGAAAATCGAAAACAGAAAACGGCTTAAAAACGGTAAACAGAACTGGCCCTCGTTTTTCCTAAAAAAAAAAAATGATATTTTGCACATAATTCTTTTGACTATTTAAATAAGTGTAAAAATTATACTTATCATGTAAACCATGAAGTTTCGAGTTGTTGGGTTTTTAAATGTCAGCGTGAATGAATTTCACCTAAACTTGGCAATGTGCCCATTCCTTAAATCATTCTTAACCAAGTGAAATCTTATTGGGCACTTGAAATTGCATTGTTTGTGACTATCAAGTCAATTGTGAGTGTAAACAACTCTAGTCTGAGCAGATAGGCCAACCAATCAAAAATAAAGAAGTCCAACTAGATAAGATATCTCGACGAACATTTTACGTGATTCTTTATAAATATCCATGTCGATCTATTTGTCTCTCTATCAGTCGTCACGTTTTGAATCCACACTACTGGATTCACCTTAACACTTACCCAAAACCAGGGTACCACATTTCTCGTTTTCATATCTGTACGACTAGGTCCACCTTAACACTTATCCTAAAATAGGTACCACATTAGAAATGTGATTATTAACTAAGTCAGTTGGTTTATCTTAACCACGTGGCAGTCATTATGGGTAGGGGGCCCACCCGGGCCATGAGGGGTAGGGTGGAATATCAAAGAATCGAATAATGTTATCTAATACGTGCACTGCTATGAGTACAGGGTTTTTTTTTACAGAAAACATACAGGAATTTGAAATGAATGGAAAGGATTGAAAGATTGGAGGAGGGAAAAAATACACACATGGACAGATTCATTCATTTCAAAATTCTGACAAAATTCTGGCAAAAATTCCTGTACTTCAGGAATTTTTCATCTAACACAAGTGACATTGAACATCAGTTTAGGCGGTAGCATATCATAGATCATAATAAATGAATCATAAATCTTTGTATTTAATTGAACCAATAATTTAATGACACGAGTACTGCCACATAACTCGATGTTGAACACCAGTCGTGTTAAATATCATTGCTCGAAAGAATACCGGTATGGTGTAAAGGAACAATGGTACAATCTTGATGACTTTTCATGTGAAAGCAAAAACGAACTGCACTGTACTATCAGAAACCACATTTATTGTTTGCAAAAATCACACTAATATTTGTTAAAGAACACATTGAATGTTCTGGCAATACTACCATTCACATTCAAAGACATTAAGTGTGTTAGATGAAACAATTAAAGAAATTAATGTAGCATTAAAATTGAAAATTTGTAATAATTGTGCTTTTGCACCTTGACATTTGAAAGCTCGAATGTTTAAATTCAGAGTTATGTCTTGTACGAAAGTAGGCTCGAATAATTTAAGTATAAATTTCAAAATCAAATTATATTCAAGTCGAACATGTGTGACAACTATATTTTGTGACATTCATTATAGCATTAATACATCTATTTAAACTACTATAAATGATTGTAGATTTACTTAAATTGCCAATAAAGTTTGAGGGCCTTGATCTCAACTTGTAGTTCATTTATTATCTCGAATTGATTAGAGAACGTAGTCATGGGCTAAACTTGTATTTTTAATCATTGTGCACCTTAACTCAATAAGATTTCAACCGAAGGTTATGATGCTTGAAATTTGTCGGTGACGAAGAATTTTAAATTAGAAAAAGCACAAACTTAATGAATTATTCCTTTATCAAAGAAAAATACGTGAAATTATTGGTAAGTGGGGAAATTAGCCAAACATTCAAGACTTTTTTTTTTTTTTTTT